AGGAGCTTTTTGAGATTAAATAGAAGAAAATACAAAACATTAAACATGTTAACAACACAAAAGCCATATTAAACGCAGACTACTTTAGGCCCGGAAGTAGGATTCGTCACGTCATCACTTAACGACCGGATAAACACCAAAGCTCTCACAATGTGTTCTCACACAGTGCCTGCTTATTGCTTCTCTTTATCTTAGCTCCGTAATATTAGCCACTATTAAAATATAAACCAAAGATCAAGGTCAGAAGTCTGGAGGGGTGGTAGTAGCACAGGTTTATAAACCTCACTGCTTTTTTTGTCATGTCCTTTTTAGATTTGTTTTCACCAGCTTGTCACTTTTTGAATGTGGACGCTAAAAGCTGTCTGGTCGGTTTAGAAAGTCATTGTGGTTTGGGTTAAAGCACACTCTTTCACACCAGTAACCTTCATGTTGAAAAATTATGTGTTGGAAGTGGGCCCATCTTACTATCATAACACAGAGATAAGCCTGTAGTTTTGAAAAAAAGTACATTATTTTATCCACTGAGAGTGAAAACTTTGTTTCTCTCCACAGAAAAGCCCTCTTTAGACTCATGTCCATAAAAATTCTCCTTTTTTAAAATGTCAGTGTGCTGCCTGCACATCTTTACAGTTTGTTTCATCTGCTCCATCTTATCTAAACTTATCTCTATTGGAGCTTTGCTCATGAATCTGTTTATATACCAGTAAAATTACTAACAAACATCCCATGTAAGGAAATGCTGTTTATTATTCAACATAAAACTAGCTCACTGAATAAGATTTTGCATGGAAAAAATACATTTTAAAAGCATCCATTTATTTTCTCATTTACTGAGAAATACAAAACGTTTCTTCATTAATCTTGAGAATTTGTATGTAGTTTAATCTTTGGTTTTGATGATGGTTCTTTAATGATTTGTCTCATTGCATTTCTCTTTTGTTTGCTTTCACAGATGAAACTAACATTTTTACTTTGAGGAATTTACTTTGAACATTCAGTATGTAGGATATGTCTAAATGATCACCGTCCTATTCAGTAGCTTTTGGAGCTTCCGTCGTTGTTTTAAGGGGAAATGAAACTGGGAAACAAACCACAGCTTCCTGCATTTGAGTCCAGTGTTTTAACTAGCCATCCAACCACCTGATGCTCTTCTCCTATGTGTCCTTTGCTCTTTGCTGTCCGAATACTTTTTTTTTTGTGTTGCGTGTTGTTACTAGATCAAAATGTACTTGCATGTAACGTGGAAAAAATGTCACAGAAAAATATTAGAATTTTTTTAATACTACCAGTGGCACCACTGCCAAAGCTTAATTTTTATGTATTTACCAATAATAGCTTTCAAACTTCTGAAGTGCTTTTTATTGTTATTCACTCTTAGAAACGTAGCAAAATAATATAAATTAAAAACTAAAATGGTAACATTTATGAAACACAAAATTTGTGCTGCTGCTAAAACTTTGGAGTTTGAATAAATTCATATTCGGAATATAAATACCTTGTGTACTCCTAGTTCAGAAGGAAATATCTGAAAAGTCTGTCTGTTCACAGCATGCAATATGAAAG